GATATTGACTATAAAAATAAATAGTGAAATCAACAGGCTACTTGTGTAAAGCTTCCATGAATATATATACACGTAATCAATCCGTCTAAGTTTTAACGATACAAATGAGTTACATTGTCGTATCTATAATTTGACAACCTTATTAGTTTAGCATTTTGCATTTACTTGGATAAAGGAAAAGAAAGAAAACGACAAGTTTAGCGATTACCCATTTTGTTTGTTTGTTTGTTTTATTTTAGCAACTCATGATACGTGCCATATTTCCATGAAATCAATAAAATAAGAAAGACAAGTCTTGTAACTAATTACAGTCTCGAGATACTTGGACAAATCAATCATTACATAATTTTTTTCCCTTTTTCGTTGTGGTAAATGAAAAATAATAATAATGTTAGTAATACATATGATTTGATCTCATGTAACAGGTATATATTAGCTGCCGCTGGTGTTGGAATTCTCTATTCATTCATTCAACTGCCTTTCGCATTGTATCATGCCGTCAAAGGGAAGAGGTTGATTAAAGGCCAGTTTCTGCCAATGTTTGATTTTTACGGAGATAAGGTTTTTCTTCTGAGAACACATCAAGCTTAAAAAAATATGCACTACTAACATTTTTCCGACCAAAAAAACGACCGAGAAAATTGATTGGATCGGTCGGTTTTTGAAAATAATATATTTTTTCAATTTTTCTTGCAAAATTGGCCGAATTCGATTAGTTTTTTTAGCTCTAAAATGCGAGAAATTATTTTTTCAATTGATTCATCGGTAATGCGTACCAGGAAATTTATTTTTTAAGAAACCGACCAACTTCGGTCGATTTTCTATTTAAAATAAATTAGAATTAATATTTAAAAAATTGACCGACATCGGTCATTTTTTTGGCCGACTTATTTAAACAATTGATTAATTTTCGTCGGTTATTTTATTTTTCCAATATAATCCGACCGAATTCAATCGGTTATTTTTGCGCAAAAAAGTCATTAAAGGGTATAAATATAAGTAAATAAATAAAGTCTTGAACCAACAAGCACCAATGGCCTAATAGAAGAATAGTACAGACCACCGTTTAATTGGCAGGAGACCACCGTTCAATTGGTTGATTTTTCTTTTTGGGTCTATTTTTATTTTTTGGGCCGAGTGTAAAACTGTCAGTTTATTTGGTAGGAAAAGAGCTGTTTTTTAGCAGTGTATATGCCTCTATTTACTATAACAAGCAGTTTTGAACAAAATTGGCAGGAGATAGCGTTTTTATTGGCAAGTGGAGTTGGCGTCAGTATTGAACTCAAAAAATCATTTAACGAATCAATAGACGAAATAGAAGGTGGAACAGTAATTGAACTACTTGAAGAATTTAGGGAGAAGAGCGACAAGTTTTTTGGAAGGGGAATATTATTGCAACAGGTATTCTGCTTGCTGGTTTTACTACAATGGCTATACTCTCCATTCTTAATTCTGCGAAACGCACTGGAAAAGGCTTTTAGCCAAGATTGGACGGAAAATATATAAAACTTTGGGACAAGTTGGTTCAATACCATATTTCATTATAATTATTTCATTTTGAGGTACAATGTTGTGTTGTACTTGATTCAATAAGCTTAAGATGACAAAATATTGTAAGAGAATATGATAACGAGGTTTGGTCAATTGACCTACATATGAGAAAAGAAGTATAAAAATTATTGTGAGAAAAATTTTCCCTTAAATAAAACTCTCGTACATACTACATTGTGAGGTTGTGTTGTGTTTTTCTGTGAAGAAGAGATCCTTTATTTATAGATGCCAATAATCTTTTCCTACAAGAAATGGACATGTCAAATACGAAAGAGAATGTATACTTTCCTTTTAGGAAAAGTAAAATAATTATGGTTAATATTCTATCATTCGTTCAAGTAAAAGAATAAATTCGAATAAGGTAAAAAAATCAGGATAGATTCCTAACTTTATTCAATAGAGTTTGAGAGTTTACTGGTATTGTTGCTATGGGAAAATTACATTTGGGCCGGTGAGTCCAAGAAGTAAGGGTGTACATCGGTCGAGTTGATTCGAATTTTACTAAACCAAATTAATTGCATCAGACTTTTAAATTAATCAATTAAACCAAACGAATAAAATTCGGATTTTTCAATCTCGATTTTTCTCGGGTTTTTCTATTTTCTCTGTTTGTTTTGAATTTTTTTCCGGGTAAAATGTTTATAGCACAAATTAAACATATAGCTTGTACTCCAAATATTGAATAGAATTACTTTTATAGGAATCTTACGGGAATGTACCACAAAATACACTATTTACTAACAACTAGCCGTTTTATGTTACCAAAAATAGCCACAAAAATTATCAATGATATACAAAATTCAAAATATATAGGGTATTTTTTTTTCAATCGATATTGTTGCGATTCGTTGAAAATACATAGATAAGGCAATATACTAATTTTGCACGGAGTTTGAAGGTGAGTTAGGCTAGTTTGGAGCCAAAATTCATTACCAATGATATACAATAT